CTGCCTGGGGAAAGGTAATGAAAATCCACCAGCTGCAACATCAGCCTTGGGATGCCACTGGAGCTCCCTAAAAGCTCAGCTGAGCTGAGCCTGAGGGACAGGACCCAGTGCTAAGCCCCAGCTTAGGGTTTTTGCCTCCTTGAGGGCAGTGGGAAAGAGATGCTGGCTCCTCTAACAGTTGAGCCATAGCTTCTCCTTTGTGCTGGGAGAGGATGTGGAGGGACTGTCCCTCTGCACCCAGGATGGCACAGGGCAGAGCACAGCCCCAGCCTCTCCCATCGCCCTCCCCAGCATGCCCACCTGGACCCCGCTGACTCCCCCTTGCCATCAGGACAAGAAACCGCCTCCGTCTTGCGGAGACGAGGGGGCTCGCTCTCCCCTTCAGGAGAAAATGCTCCGTCTGGTATCCCGGCTGTGACACAGACCTTCGAGGAAGCTGAACACACACAGTGACAGTGAAGTGGTAAAACTGCCTTCTGCAGAGAGCACGGTGACTGCTGCCACCTCAGCGGGCTGTATCACTGCGTGATTAAGTTCTTACCAGACTTTTTGGTAAAGGCAACCTTCCTGATCTGATAACTGCCAAGGACAAGCCAAATATGCAGGGTCAATCTATGCACATTTAATCCCCAGAAGGCAGATTAAGTGTATAATTGACCCATATAATCCATGTATCATCTCCAGTGAAATGTTTTCTATGTCCGGTTTAGGCAGACATGAGGCCCATAAGAAAGCGATCAGAGACAGTATTACCATTGCAGTGGATTTCATCAAAGTTAGAGATGGCTTTTTAATCACTGATCTCAGAGACTGCTAGATTTAAGCAGATGAACTAGCACTAAGCACATCTGTTTTAATCCTTATCTTCTACTCAGGCTGGTGTCTTCAAGAAGTACAAGGAGGAAAAAAATAAATTAATTTTTTTTAGGTCCTTGCAATCTTAGGAGCTTCTCTTGGTGTTTTGATCTCTCATATCAAAAGCATGTTTTTTTTTTTTTTTTTTTTTTTTTTAAGATATTGAATTAATCATCAGAGAGAAAAATGCCATCTGCACTATTTAGGGACTGTATCAGGATGCTGGAATTTGCAGGATCTCGGGGAGCTCACTCCACGTTCAGCAGCCTTTTGTGTACGTGCTGCTCGCCTGTGCTGGGGAGGCAATATTCTTGCTATGTTTTACATCACTGTTTACTAATTTACGAGGAAGAAAGGTTAGCATTCACACTACTTACTAGTCAAACATAGACCTTCTGGATCACATATGTTCTGATGGGTTGAAACCTCTACTGTGAGTACCTAAGGGTGTGTGTAAAGAGATACACACGTACACACAGCGGTAACTTCCACCAAAGGGCACAACCCTTACAAGTAAAACTCCCACTGCCTTCACATAAAATTACAGATGTATAAACTCTGGTTCTGTGAAATTCCAAGTGTCCCCAGCCAAAGGGCACGTGAATTTTGCAGGTTTGCTTTGAAGACTCAAGACCACTCTGAAGATATTTACCCATGTTTAAGATACACCCTCCTGCCTCTGCCTCATTGCTCCTATAAACAGTGACATTCTGTGTGTCAACTCTGGCCCCCTTTCCAGGAAAAAAGAGGTAAGAATTTTACTTTCTATCAGGCACTACACAGCATTTGCAACCCTTCCACACTGTGTGCAAAGTACCACAGCGTTCTGAATCCCAAAGCACCCAGCCACGCACAGGAACGCAGAGAGTGGGTGCTACGATGCTATTCTGAAACTCTTCTGTTACCACTGCTCTCTACCAACGGGCCTTATTATAGTGTTTTAGCTTTAAATGTTACCAAATTAGTGAGCCAGGCCAAGTAAATAAGTCATGTTACTCTGCAGTAAACAGCACTGCCAAAAAGCTAGTTAGGTTTTGATTACCAGCAGAACTCCACGATCAATCTGTTCATTCAATGATCCCAAGAATACGGATTTTTAAAATTAAGATGACTCCATTTCAGGGTGGGGGAGAAAAACCCCTGACTAATTTGCAGAATTAAGAAGATTAACACACAGACCACACAGAAATATCGCAATAATCTTCTGCAAACACCAGTATCTCCCAAAGAGCACAGCCCTGTTCTGCAGGTACAAGCAGGGCACATGATGCTGTGGAAGAGAGATGGTTTCTGAGCTAAAAAATCATGGCAAATGCCAAAAAAGATGCATTAACTCAGCTTCTGCTGGGAGATGACCTAGCTCACTCTGCAGCCTCTGCTCCTGGGAGGAAACACAGGGGAAATGAATGGAAACACTGGGCAGGGCTGTACAGAAATGTGGGGATTTGGAGTGTCCTGGGAGCTGAAAATCCCAACATGTGATAGGCAGTCCTCACAGTACTCAGAGCTGGACAGACAAGGGATTTAGCCCTATATTGCAAGTGTCTCTAAACGTGATCCCACTGAGAGCAGAGGAAGTGCCTGCAGGCAGATTAAGCTGTTTACCTGCCACTGCTGCACGTATTACCACAGAACTGCCTAAAACTGGACAGAGCTTCTGGCTGGGGTGAGCCAGCATTGCTGCACTAAGGCAGCTGAGGAGCTGGTCTCCAACATGTTAATAATCATTGCCTGGAGAAACTGCAGCTAAAGGATCAGTCCTCTGATGTGCTGGGGGAAGCGAGAGCAAAATCAGTCCCAAGTCTAATTCAGCATCATAAATACCATTTTTGATTATTCCTTTTTCTTATTAAAAAGGTAGCAAGCACCTAAAATGTCCTTGGAAAATTGGTAGAGATATCAAAGGAGCTTAAAGACCCCAAGGCTGTGCTGGTTCACTGTGTTAGGTGAGGGGGACAAAGGGCTGTGGCCGAGCTCGGGATAAAAGAGTTAAGCATTTGCTCCAATTTTTACCCCAACACAGGCGAACACAGCACTGATTTAAATGGGGTCTGGGTCTAGGTCACCCCCGGGTACTCATAAACCCTGCTGCTGCTGACCTGCCAGCAGCACCTCAGCCTTGCTGAGAGCTGATCTCAGGAACAAGTCACTTCCTCAGCAGCAGCCTGGCACGACTGATCAAAACAAAATGCCAATGTTTGGGTGTGTAGGGCTCAGAGTGTCCCCTGTCCCTGTGAAGCAGGGGCCTGCAGCTCGCCCTGCTTGCGGGTGCACACTCACATACCTGAGACATGCAGAAAGGTAAGACCCCCAGTGCTGCCCCACTGGTGTCAGGAATGGGAATGGGAACAGCTCCCACCTGCTGTGGCTCCCACATGCAGCCAGAGTGGGTCAGAAGAGGCAGAGCAATGTAAAAATCCTGCTCTTGGTAATTTTATTCTGCATGCACCAGGGAGGCTCAAGGAAAGCAGGGAGGGAAAGGAAAGTTTTGCACTTTTTGCTTTCCACCAGGGTAGTTTTTTTCTTTTGTTCATGTCAACTCTTAATTTGTTTAAAATATAGCTTGGTAAAACTAAGTATGAGTGGATCAAACTGAAATCAATATTTATGCTAATTACAGCCATTTGAAAATTGGAAATAATGGCCCAAAGGGTACAAACACATCAACTGTGAATCATAGGGAAAGGATGAGGGAAAAGGCAGTGTGGGCATTGAAAAGAACAGTCCAGATGAGCTCTGGAAATTTCATGGAATAAATTTCAACAGAAACGAGCAATGCACTCGCAGGCCGGCTGCAGATGGAAGCGACAGCCTTTTGTTTTCTGTTTTGTTTGTTCTCCCCAAGCCTGCTCGATGGGTGATCTGCGTCTGGAGCTCTGCGCCGCGAACTCTCCCCGGCGCGCCCGGAGGAGGCACGGCCGTGCTCCCTGCATGAATGAGGCATTCTCAGTGGATGTGGGTCATGCTAGTAGATGTACACAGCAAGATTATTTGACTCTAATTCATGCCACTTGATATAATGTGATAAAACATTTGACATGAGAGATAAGTTCCATTTTAATCCGGTAAGGTACAGGGGAAAGAAAGAGTGGGAGTTGTAAAGGAGGAAGAGGTTTCTAAGGGACAGGTAATGCGCAGGAAGAGAGGTGCTGAGTGGAGGAGGAGGTTGGTTGGGAGAAAAAGCAGCTTTCCCTGCACACTGAGGAAGCAAACGAGTGAGTAAAGAAAGCGAGGAAGGTTGTACAGTTCCAGAGCCAGGAGACTGAGAAATGGCACTGCTGAGAGATGGAAGGAAGGAAAGTAGGAACAGAAGCTGCTTCAAGCAGAAATCAGTATATGGACAAATACCCTAAAGGAGACTGGAACACTAAAGCTACAGGCTGGCTGTCAACAGAAAACCTTCGCTATAGAACAGCTACGAGGACAGAAAGGCTATAACACAACAAGAGCAACAGAAACAGAGATATCAGTTAACATGCATCCAAATCCAAAACAAACAGGCATCACAGGTCACTGTTCTCTTACACTCCAATGAATTTATCTTGTGCAACAGAAAAATAGCTCTGAGCATCTGGGGCAGTTCCTACCATGCCATCTTCATCAAGGAGACCTCATCTGAACTTTACCTTTGGTGTGAGACACCACAGGATGGTCCTCCCAAAATACAAAACTTGATTCCTAATCAGCTTTGCTTTGGTTAGCTCTTAAAATAGAAATTTACTATGCTTAATTTCCTGTCAGTTTTGGAGTGCTTGTCAGTGAAACACACTGCAAAATGCACAGAGGAGATGGCCCTTAGCAAATGCATCTGCCAAAAACCCGGCTCAAATTTTAACAGTGAGAACAATGACCGAGATGTTCTGCTACAGAGAGATTTTACACAAGCTTAAAGAGTAAAGGGCTCTCTTAGTAGATGCTGTTCTCTTAAAATCCACGCACAGACAGACCAAGACACAGTAGACTAGAGATTTAAAGCGGGCAGAGAGCAGATACGAGCCTTAGTCAGAAAGAAAGGAAAGATTTATTTATTTTTTAGAGCTATAACCAATAAATTTTCTCAAAATGTGACTTATCCTCCTGTCTTATTTTGTCACATTTTGGGTCTCTCCTGCTTGGTGTCCAAGGAGGAGAAGGCATTTACTTACATCAAATAACCTTTCTATATACATCTCCTCATTGACCTTATCACGCAGGACATCCTGAGAGTGGCGGACAAATGTCACATAGGCATCAGCAACATCCATCCCCGGCTTCTGCATGGGGGAGAGAAGAAGAGAGACAGAGAGAAACATGAATAGCACACAGGGGGCAGCTCTCCTGTGTAGCTTCTCCTTCTCCTCCACCTCCTGCTGTCCTCCTGCAGTCCACCCTTCACTTACCTGATGGGCACCTAGTCCTGCTGCTCTGTGCCCCACGCCCAGCAAAATACTGTGTCCAGCACAAGATCATGCAAAGACACTTTGCTCTTTCTCTTCTTTCACCTAGAGCAAAGCCAGTTAGAGGAATAAAGCTCTTCCTCAACATACCAACACCAGGAAAGTTGTCTTCCTACCTTCAGTGCTGTTGACCTAATGAGTGAAGCTGGGCTGGGGTTTTGTTGCTTTCTTGGGTCACCTTTTCTATGCATGCCCTCTAATTTCTGAAGGTAGAAAATTAAAAGCCAGAGTTGGGCTCTTGATTCTTCTTCTGTGGTGTATAAGCAGCTTGTGTGGCAGAAGGCATCCCCAAACCACCTTTCTTTCTCTGTTCAGACCCCTGACTTCAGGTCAGATTTACTACTGCTTTTAAGAATAAACTGGGTAAACCGTAAGGCAGAGAATTTATGTCTACATGAACGTTTAAGCTGCTGTTAAATGGCAGGAAGAATCCCCGTGCTGTGACATCTCTATGGCTCTCTGCAGGATTTAACTGATTTTAAACAGTAACTTACCAGCATGTAAGAGTTTGGGGACAACAGCATTTCTTTAAAGAAAATGACAACTGAAGCAGGCGGATGGGAAAATACTTTAAAAAAAAAAAATCCTGTTCGAGTTCACATTGCTTGATATATTGGAATCAAACTTACCTCAAAGGAAACCCATTAAAATACTGTAACAGGAGTCATTACAAGACCTGCCACAAAAATCTTAAATTTCCATGGCACATTGTAAGTTTGTTAATAACTAGTGTCATTAGTTTCCATTACTGTGATTTACTTCAGATCACAGAGTATCATTTCTCTGCAAGATATGATTGTCAGCCACTGTAAATTGAAGTTAGTTAACACATCTGTGTAATTTCCAGGGTGAAAATGAGGACAGTTTGGAAAGCAGTAGGAAGGGAGTTTTTTAATACAAAGCAAACAATTATCAAGCAAAGGGCCAGTGCTTGGCCCTTGGGAAGCCAGTAACATTTCTTAACACCTACTGCAACAATGACAAGGTATTAATTTGAAAAACAATGAGGACAACACAGACGTGGCAGTAGTCAAGTGTTACACTTTCAAGCAATTTTCAGCACGCCAATTGTGCCCATTTCAAGGTGGCATTAAACGGATATTTTTTTGTACCCAGACAATTACAACAGCATTTGTGGAATTCAGATTTAACTGATAGTTTTCTGTTCAACACCAGGATTTCCCCTCTGTCCCCCAGTCAAACAGGTTTTTCGTTCTTCTTGTCCCAGAAAGCCAGTGGCTCATGGACAATGGGGCAACCTCTTGCAAAGGTCAGGGACCTGTGCAGGGCTGGTGCTTGATTTCATCAGCAATTTTGGGGCTGCCAAGGAAGCCATTGTAACATAGCTTTGTTTCCAGGGGAAGGTGAGGAAACAACAAAAAATAATCCAGGTGAATGATCTGTATATGTCATTCATATATATTATAATATGCAAAGAACTGGAGGGTCCCACTGGCTCTGGGGCCAAGAGCAGAGCTTTGCTCCTCCTGCAAAGCCGTGATGCTGTGGACCTCCCAAGGGTGTCCAAGGCACAATGTTTTTGGAAAAGCTTGAAAGGGTCATATAGCATTTTACCAAGATCACTTCCCTGGAGATGCTTTACTTTCCAGGAAGGTAGAGGTGTCAGAGAAGGCCATGCTTTGCCCTGCATGTTACTTAAAATAACTGTTCCATGCTCAAATTCCTAATGACTAAATATCTAAGATGCACTCAAAGAACTAAGAATTTCAGCTGAAGGATTTCCACATTTTCTAGGGCTAGAAATGAATTTTGAGTCCCTCTTTCTAATGCTTTCAGTATATTGTTCTTATTACTCCATGACAGCAGGTTACTGATCTCTGCACTGGGGCATTTTAAAGGAAGCAAGACCTCTTACTGTTCAAGAGTTTGTCCTCCCCATGCTGGGCTAAAGATACAGCAATTTGTAGGAAAGTTTTCTTTCAGGTTAAAGGGATAGAAACACCGAATAGTGGATGATATGGTTCAAGATGTCTAATAAATCTATCATGTCACATGAGCGCACGCAGTGCAATCTCCTTCAGGTTCAATGTACATACATAAGTTACAGATACAGGTCATCAAACTCAAGGGATTTGTTCTTGATTTACACTGCCCAGTCTAACTAAATGCAGGATTTGGTGTGGTATATTATGAGCTATTCTTCATTTGTAATTGCTCAGGATCTCTCTGCCTGTAAATGTTACAGTAACCCCTTACTCCAGCCAACATTCATTTATTACACTTCAACACAATTTAAATGTAAATTTCTGGCAAGTTAAGTGCTCTGTCTAAGAATGTTAAAGGCTCTTTTCCTTATGAATCTAGGTCTAATTAGAGGAGACGATGTACAGTTTCCCTATACCAATTACAGAAAAATGGAAAAAATTATTTTCATTAACAATTTCGCAAACACATGTTGCTAGCTCATCACCATTTCCCCAAAGTAATAAAAAAGTCATTTTCTGAAAGAGTAACATAAACCAACAATTAGAAGAACAAAAATAAAATAGATTAGCTAATGTGTTAGATGTGTATTGGCTCAGTTCTAACATGTCTGGACCTTTTTGTTTGGAAATTATACTGTATTTGTACAAGTCCAAATGAAGAATTAACAGAATGCACTGCTCCCATTTTTAAAAAAAAATATGATTCAAGCCAATTGCATAAATATGGTACCTTTTTGACACCATCTGCAAATTATTGCCTAAACAGCCTTGTAGGTCTCCATAGGAGGGTAACTGCTCATTATTAACGTCATGGAGAAATTCTTCCCAGTTCAAATGTTAGGAGGCCCATGGTTCAATCTTGGCTGTTAATGCATAATGTGGGTTGCTACACATGCCATAAACCACAGCACAATGCAAATGACTATGACAGAAGTTGTTTAAATTGTGCTTACGGGTACATCCACGTATTTGGAAGCAGCCTTCACCTGTAAAAGGAACAGAAAGAGAGTTTACACCATCAGTACATTTTCAGGTCTTTGCTTTTTCTTTAAACACCTGTAAGAGCTTCTCCAGCCAAGACCTGGGACAATGTAATGCTGAGTAGGGGAAAAGAGTGGTAAGAACCATGTTTCCTGTCTAAAAGAATGGGCAAGGGGGGTATTTTTGTTGTTGTTTTTTTTTTTTTGAGAGGTAACTTTACTGCTGCTAAAGCTCTAATAGCAACAGATGATAGTGTGGGAGTTGTGCTTCTCCCTCTTCTACTTCAGCGAGCGGGGGAAGATGGGGTTCATAAGTAGACATCGTTATCTTCTTCAGAGGCCTCATTCCCTGCCCAACGCCACGTGCCTCCAGAGGCAGTGTGTCTCTCTGCTGTTGGGACCTGCATCCTGGGGACCGTGGGAGCCCCCAGCAGTGTGGGCACGATGGCATGGCAGGGCTGCCAGGCACCTGCACCAGGGTGGCTACTGGGAAGTGCCCAAAGGACCCTAATTTTGTCCCCTTGCCCAAAGTTCCACATGTAGTATGCTGTTCCTGGCTTTGCTTGGGACATCATTTTCCCCCTTTTTTGCTGTCCCTGATGCTGGCAAGAGCTGGGGGACTGTGTTGGGGCAGCTTGCTCATGCCATGCAACAGAGAACTGCCCCAAAGCTTTTGTGCTTGCCTGACTCCAAACAGCTATGTCTGTTTCCTAGGATTTTCACCTGCTTTTAGAAGATGTTATTTGAGGGAGGGCATCAGAGGGTGGACACTGCTCTCTTCAGTGTCCTCACAAGCCAGTGGGTGCTGCAAGGCCCCAGATTTGCTTTGTCTTCAGTTTGCCATGCAGCAGGGTGCCTGTCGCCTGGCACAGGAGGCAGGGTGGCCCCCAGTGGCAGGGCCAACTTTTCCAACTGAGCAGTGCCCAGCTGGCCAGAGAGACCTTTTTCCCACTGCAGCATAAGGCACCGTGTCTCGGAAGGGCGCGGCTGTGATTTTCCACAACGCTTCTGCGTTTAATTAGGGTAAGTGTTGCCGGCCATCTTTGTTTGGGTGTAAAAGCTCACCTGCTTTTAAATATTTCTAAAGCTACCATTAAAACAGCCTAAATATAACACGCACACAGTTGCATCTTGGGATGAATAAATTATGTGTCCCGAATGAGAGAATGAATGTATGTGTGAGACAGAATGTGAGAGTGGGTGGAAGCACTCATATGGTGTGTGTGGGGGGTGCATAATTAAGCACAATGAGGCGATACAAAAGACCAGACTGGTGGTAATTGCCGAGGTGAACGCTGC